CGCAGGCTGGGTAAAAATTGGACAAGCTGCTGCTATGATCCCTTATCACTGAGTTTCTGTGTTTCCAGAAAGAAGGTAGGAAGTGTCCTATAATTAGAATTTGGTAAACTATAATTATATTGGTTAGTATTGTCTGTAGGACCAGAATCATATACAGTAAAAACTTGAGGTGCGAGTAACTTGTTCCATGTGTCTTCCACAAGATGAGCAAACATTTCTAATTTTAACTTGATAATGATTGACGTCTTGTAATATAAGTAGTATGTGAATCCGAACATCACGTGATCACAGCTGAACTGATAGTTCTCCCCTCCTCCTCCTCTCTATGTCTCTGTCTCTCACTGTGGGACCGTAGGTCTCCCAACAGCAGGAGATTATGGAGAAGAGCTTGTCTGCAGAGGAGGAGGAGAAAAAGGCAGAGGAATCCCTCACTTCAAAGGAGATTAGGAAGTTTGAGAAACTACACGATTTTGCAGAAAAATACCACCCAGATAAGGCTGTAGCAGTGAAGCTGTTCCATGACAATGCAATGTCCCATTTCATGAAATCCTCAAAAATTTCATTTCATGAAATCCAAGAGACATTGGATAGGCTCCTTGTTAAAGCTGCACAAAAAGAAAAAGATTCCAGTTAGGCAATAGATAGCGGTGATTCCATTAGTGATTGTGAAAGTTGTCCTACACAATAACCCCTCCATGCCTCCCTTATACTAGCCATGAAGATTTTCAAAATTAAATGTAGATTATTTCCTTTGTACTTTGTATTTCCTTCATTATTTTGTATTACAGTATTGTAATCATTTTTACGGAATATTTTTGGGCTATGGAATGAATCATCTTGAGTTTCATCATTTCTTATGGGGAAATTTGCTTTGCTATACAAGTGCTTTGGATGAGAGGCATATTTCCAGAATAAATTATGCTCACAAACCAAGGTTTTACCACGTGCATGTATATATGTATAGATATACACAGATTTATTAGATTGGCTTACAGAATCAGAAACTGAATAGTTCATAATAACAGTTTGCATGGTGGAAGGCAGCGGATCTAGTAGCCACTTAGTCCAAGAAGCTGGAGGTCTCAGTACAAGAGGGACTAAGGATGTAGCACCAGTCCAAGTCTGGGGACCTGCAAGCTCTCTGAAGACTCACTGTTGTGAATCTCTGTGGGAAGGTTGAAGAAGCTGGAGTCTGATGTCCATAGGTCATGGCAGCTGCAAAAGATGGACTCACTCCAGCAGATACAAGCGTGCAAGCACTGACTGACTGCTTCCTTTTACCTTTTGTTCCATAGCAACTGCAAACGTATCAGATGGGTGGGTCTCTTCCCCCTCAGTTTGCTGGCCTGCATGCCAGTCATCTCTGCAAACATCCACAGACACGTACAAGAGAGTTCTGTATTCATTTCCTAGGTGTTTTCTCAATCTAAGTTGACAAGAGTAACTATGCCAATGAAAAAATGCATAAGAAGCCTTCATTATTTTGAGAGATATACAAAGGGAAATTGGAATCATCATATTCTATAAAAATGTTTCATAATTGTGGCAGCTACCAAATATGTAAATATCATAACCCAGAAGGACGGTATGTCCTATGCCGCCAAGGAGAGATCATGAATGTGCCAGAAGTAAATTCCTGCTAGAGAAAAAGTCAGGAAGTGTAAGTCCTCTTGATAATATTCCTTATGCTGGAATTTTATTTGAATCTACACGATCAAGCTTATTTTCTATTAAGAAGCCAATAAAAGGTGCCTTAAAAGAAATGCATGGCCAGTTAAAAATTATTCGGTTTTTTTCCTCCTCTCTGGATTGCAGCCAAAATCTCAACTTTGATGAAAATATGCACATACAAGATGTGACCAAAATATAAAATGAAATTTTAAATTTAAAAAATATTATATAGTGCCATTTATCCTCCTCAAAATATTCCACTCACAACGTACTTATCCCATGGCTCTTCCTACTTTCTGAAGGTATTGGGAAGTCCTCTTTTGTGTTTCTGAAAAGTATGACTGAAGAAAAAAATATACAGTGAATGCCGTTGCCCAATGCTGTCCAAAAGAAAAGCAGACTCATAAAAGCATGACAGTATGTACTCATCCAGTTTATTCACCAGATCTGGCATTGTGTAACTTCTGTCTTTTCTCCAAAGTCAAAATTACCATTAAAGCTAAAGGTTTTTAATTATTTCAAGACATTAAGGCAGCCATATCAGCCCAACTACAGACACAGGAAGAGGACTTTTAGAACTATCAGAAAGTAAGAACAATGGGGTAAGTGTGTTAAAAGCAAGAGGGACTATTTCGAAGGGGACGAATAGCAATGTGTGTTTTAACATTAGAAATTTTAAAAGTTTAAACATTGTCATTTCTGATAACATCTCATTTGGCTAACGTTGACCATGAACTTTGTATCAGAGGTGACAGTGCAATTGCTGTCATAAAAAGTTTAGCCTGAAGTAGACACACTTGATGGTACCGATCACTAGAGATATCTGTGTACATACTGGACAGAGTTGTTTACTCTCCACTATAATAGACTGCATTTTTAAAGAGGCTACAGTTTGCACTAAAATTTGGTAGAGCTTTATAAATATATGGTCATGGCATCTAGGAAAATGACTTGAATTTTAAAACATGGGGATTTCCAAACATAGATTTAACTTTTATTAATGGCATGAATATGGGTAAATGATATGCCCAAATTTATTTATCTATAAGACAAAGATAAAACTTTGCATAGTTCTCATGAAAAAGAAAAGTATAAATGTAATGTCTCCTAGCACAGCAAAAATCTAGTTAGTGTTCAGTTAAAGGGACCACTGGCAGAGCCATTGTCCTCTTGTAGGATACAAAACTGTGGCTTCTAGGAAAGCTATTGGGGTACAATTTAAATAGCATTAGATTTGGGAACAAGAGTAAGATCTCTAGTAACTTAAAATTTTCATGAGGAAAAGTGTATTCATTCCCGTCACTTCTTTGATCAGTACCTTTGTGATATAAAGGAAGTAACATCTGTTTTTGAAAATCACTTGACTCAGTAGTTTCCTAGTTCCATTTCATTTTAATTAGCTATTATTATAAACTATGAGTTATATTTGTAAAGGCTTACACTACCCCTCAGGTAACTTAGGCACTTTTGTAAATAGCATACTTCTGTCACTTTCCTGGGTTCCATTTACTGTAATATCAGCCTGCTGTCCTTGACTAAATGATGTGGCCATTTAGTGTAGTGGCCAGCGGGTACAATTTAGTGTCCCCATCTATGTAATTGTTACTTGCCCTCAGGTTTCCTTGAGAGAGTTAATAACGCCTCAACTATTGGGAGCATTTTACCATTAGAGAACCAAACACAAAGGTGTTTCTTTAAACACACGATCTGCATATTGTAGGGTAACCGTGAGCACAAGAGGAAGACACGGTTCCATTGTGTAACAAATGACCTGATAGACTGTCCATAGGCATAAGAAGTAACATTCATGTTGTGGTTTAGCATTTTGGCATTTTGATTTCTCACTGGCATGTAAGAAGCTCTGATTTCTCTTGTCAAGAAAATAAACTTGGATCCTGCCATTCTTTTACCCCTGGGCCTTCATTTTGCATCAGAATTTGAAGGAACAGGTTCACTATTTTGCATTTTAGTTAATTCTGTGACTTGTGTTGTATTCTTATCCCTGAGCTATTAAATTGTTCAAAAATAAATTTTGCATTACTTGTTGAATATGAAACATGCATCTCATTTGCCTACATTTTATAACAAAAGATAATTAATATTTACATAATAGTTTGAAAGTCAGAATGACTGTTACTAATAAATTGTCATATAACTGGGCTTAATAGGCAAGAAGAAAATAAAATCTGAATTTTTCTATTGAAATGTGTAGGCTCAGGAAGAGAGAAAACTACTCACACACACATTTGTATATGTATTTGTACATATATTTGTATGTGTGTATATATATATATATATATATATATATATTTGTATATGCATGTGTATTTGTGATAAACACGTCTCAAATGACAGGATTGAAAAATTAAATGACCAAAATTCAGGCTACATACTAAGCCAGGCTAAGGTTTCAGGGAAATCTGGGACCTACTCCCACTCCCTGAACTTTTATGGGAAGCCTCTTGGGGAAACAACAGCCTGGACTCTAGAACATTCCTGGCCCAGAAAAAGGCTCCTATGAGCTCATGGGGGTTTCCATGCTGACAACCAGCCTTGGCAGCTTTGAAGACTCCAGCAGAGGTCACTCATTCAAAGGAGGCTCACCTCTTGGGATCAAGTGGATCCACCAGCTGATGTGTCTGCCTCCTATTGCGGGGAGCTGAGGGATCTAATACCAGAGTCCTTAGCTTGGGAGGGTTGTGGATCTGGTCCCCACGGGAGAGGCGCTGTGTGGATGCATGCTGGACCACCAAGTGATGAGAGAGGGTCGCCCTGTTAGCTTTCACGAGTCTGGGAAAGGTGTAAAACCATGCGGTCCCCCGAGAGGTGTAGATGTGGGGGACATGGAATTAAAGTATTTCCCTTGCTTCCTCTGAGGTAGGGGCTTCACCTCGGGCCCACCTCACCTCTCCACCCAGCACACATCCCGGCTCACACCGATCGCTGGACCGTTCTCTTCCTGCCCCCAACGCCAACATCCGATCTGTCCCCATCTCCAGGCAGCCACTTCTAGGGACTGAGGAGTTGCCGGGGTTGAGCCCAGCCGCGAAAGCAGGGCGCGCGGAGGGCGGAGAAGCGGGGCGCAGCCGTGGTGGGTGCGCCCGGCCAAGAAGGGCGGGGGCGACGGGGGCGCGCGGAGGAGGAGAAGGAGGGAGCGGGGAGGGCGTGCGAGCGAGGCAGACAAGAAAAGGGAGCGCGCCCGCCGCCGCCGCCCTCCTCCGGAGAAGGCTGGAGTGAGGCTGTGCGAAGCGCCGCATTTCAATGAGGACCGGCCGAGGCGCAGCCCTGCTCTAGCGGCCTCAGCCCAGCGCCCGCGCCCCCGCCGCCGCCGCCCCCAGCCCGCAGCCCGCAGCCCGCAGCCCGCAGCCCCGCGGCCCGGCCGCGCCCAGCCCCGCGAACACAGCTCCAGGAGGCGGCCGAGCGAGGCCACAAAGACCCCGGCGGCGACTCTCCGCGGACCGGTGCGTGGTTTCCCAGGCTGGGGAAGGGAGCCGCGGGGAGGTCCGGCCGGGTCCCCGCAGAGCTGCCGCTCCGCAGCCGCGCGGCGCCCGGGGCAGGGCGGGTTCCCGGCGTGGCGGCCGCGCCGCCCGCGCTCCGTTCCTCGAAAGGCGGCCGCCCGGCCTCGCCGCCCTCCCCGCCGGCCCGGACGCTCCCTGCGGGCGCCCCGCGGCTGCTGGCACCTGCCTCTTTTGTCTGGTGCCAAGGGGCTTGAAGGCGAAGTCGGGGAGAGTCCCCCGCCCCTAGAGGCTCTTGGCCGGCTTCTTCGTGCGGATGGGGAGCCGGGCGGAGCAGCTGGGATCATTGTCAGAACTGGCTGCGGAGCCAGGACCAAGTCAGCGCCCGGAAGGAGTGGCCGGGCCGGGCCTTTTATTGTGTGTGTGTGCTTTCCGTGTGCCCGGGAGGGAGGATGGTGTGTGCTTGAGGATGGAGCCAGTCCGTGTGTGGTGGTGGCTACGATGTGGCTGTTGCAAACACATTTTCAGGGTCTCGAGTTCCCCTGGGGACAGCTAGGCTGCCTCACCTGGGAATTAGTACCTGCAGTGCTAAAGGCGTGCGGAGAGGAAATGGCATTTTCCTCCTAGTGGGAGCGCATGCACGTCCTGCACCGCCCCACAAAAGAGACTGCTTTTGAAAACCAGATTTGAGTGGAATCGCTGCTGGGTCTGGCGAGGAAGTGCTTGTGGGTGAGAGTGGGATGAAAGATTTCATTCAAACTGGCTCTCTGTCAGCTGCACCTGTGAATCTGTGCTCAGGCTATGGTGCACACGCACACTTGCACACTGCAGAGTGTTCATGAATAAGTATCATGACTATTCCTAAATATATCGCCTTTTAGTGGGAGAGGAAAGTAGGGCAGCATTATGAGTATGAAGTGTCACATGAATGGAGGTCAAAAGTGATGCCGGGAGGTCATATGTAGGGAAATTATTACAGATAGGCGCACAGATGATTTTTACCCTCATGGTGGTGCACACACTGGAAAGCTGTGTGTGTGTCTTTTGCTCCATGCCTGTCCATCCAGCTGAATGAGTCCCAATCCCACTGCTAAAACTGTGGGACATCCAGGTATCACATCTACTGTATTTAGATGTGATAGTGTCTGTGCAGCTGCTTTCATGGGGTCTCTCTCTCTGTGTGTGTGTGTGTGTGTGTGTGTGTGTGTGTGTGTGTGTGTGTATGTTTCAAATTTGTGAAATAGGAAGCAGTGTGATCATCCAGATAATGACAGAGATTCCTCAAAATGGTGAGAAAGCCCACAAAGAACAATCAAGGATGTTGGTTTCCTGACATGGCCAGTATTTATAGGAAAATCTCTGATGAGAGCATCTGCCTCCTTCCCTGCCAGTGTCTGTGGTCCCTGCGGCCAGATCAATGTGGTTACTCTTGGTGCCAGTGCACATGTGTCCTCAGGCCCTTAGCCACCATGGTCTCTGGATGTGGGGCAGTGTGTCCTGACTGGCTTCCCAGGCAAGAGGTGTGCATCTTCGTCAGGAGCTTCTGGTTCACATGTGTGACTAAGCCAGGTGAATGCCAAGCCAACAAGGCAAGGCAAAGAGCACCTGCTTTGATGCCACACATAATTACCAGAACACTAGGATGTGTAGTGGTTTCTGATACTCATTTAGTGTAGCTGTAGCCTTGACAATGACTTCATGTTGAGTGTGGTTTTGCTTTGTTGGCAACATTACTGGCTGCATTTGGATGGACTCAATGAAGGGAGTTAAAAGATGTGGGTTTTGCCTTGAGAGAACACATGATCCAGTTTGAGAAAATACGTGAATAAAAATAAACTGTCCACAATTTTACTCACTTATTATTTTGAGATGTGTCTGGTTATATTGTCCAGTGTGATCTTGAATTCCTGGGCTCAAATGCTCCTCCTGCCTTAGCCTCCCAAGAGCTGCAACTGTAAGCTAGTGTCCTTATGCCTGCTTAAATTCTATTTTAAATTCTCCTTCCTTCCTTCTTTTCCTCTTCTTTCCCTGATGCCCCTTTCTTTTTAAAATTCTTGCTCTTAAAAGCCTTTCCCTCTAGATAGTTCAAACATTTGCCAAATTACTTGGCCTTTGCCAACTGTGAATTACCGGCACCCCTAGGAAATGGCTGCATACTCAGTCTGGCATCACAGCTATGACATCCTTTACTCCATCCCCGTGAGTTTTCTCTTAGTATGTGTCAGTTTGGGAGAAAACCCCTAGGGTTGAGGAATGCCCACTGCCTTTAAAAAGAAGACAATTCCCTTCCAAAGTCAATTTGTTGCCCCCTAGATTTTTGAAGAGCTTAATGAGTGGACTTAATGAGTGGACTTTAGCATTAGCAGACTCCTGCTCCTCATCCACAAGGCACTCACATCTGTTGGAAGACGAGAGCTTACTTAAAAAGTACATGAACAAAGTGAGAGCTGTTACTCATATCATAAGCAAAATATTACTTCTATTATACAACTATGCCTACAGGATAGGATATCAAGTTATACTTGTTTTTAAGCTTTCTAACTTCCAAATCAGTGAAACCAGGTCACAGCTGGTATAAATTCTTCAGAACAATGCAAAATTAGACTGTGCTTAGTTACTGGTATTAAGAAGTAGGAGGTAGTTTTCATAGGTATTTAGAGGAAAAAATACACTCATAATCACTGCAGGTGTAAATCCTGCTCCATTCCTCTCTCCAGATTTCTCAGTGGGGTTGGCACTAGAATCCTGATGCTTAAAAGTGTTAGAAGCCTGGTAGCTCCTACTTCTGCTTTGTGCAGACGAAGTTCTTGGGCGGGGTATACTAGGATCCTCCTGTATCCTTATGAGGATACAGGATCTAGCACACCTAGCTTTGGAATCAGTAATCTGGGTTCTAATCCTAGCTCCCTCCATTACATGGTTGGGACCCTGGATAAATCCATTCTCAGCCTTGATAATATTAATTACATTGCTAGTTTCATGTGAGCGTCAGATAAGTTTTTTTTAGCATATTATGTAATTGTTGACAAAAATATCAAGAACATCTGAGACATTCCATAAATACTATTTTCTTTTATTCATTTCATGAGTGCCAAATCTCTAGCCATGTTTCTGAACATGGAAGTTTTTGTTATAACTTTTAGATTAAATTTATTTTTCAGCTGATACATAAAATGTTTAGACATTCCACTGGATCAGAGATCAGTTTACAAGCAGTCAAGGAAATATCAGGGAAACTTAGAGGTGTGATTGGTGAGTTTTGGTTGCTTTTCAAAAAAAGGCGACACCGTCCATGTAGTGGAATTTTGGAAGTACCCTTAGAGTCTTGCCTCAGCTTTTCCATTTTATTTATAATTTGCTTCATTGTGCCTGAAGTTCTGTCATTAAAATTTTTCCCTTGAATGCTGAGTTCTCTCCACCATCCCGATTACCCTGTTAAAACATGAATCTGCCTGCCAGGGCCGACCTTTCTCAATGAACTCCTTAGAAAGAGTGATTGACCCCATAGGCAGCGTGCTGATGGCAAGACCTTAAAACTTTGCTTATCAAAGTTTAGGACAGAGAAAGTAAAAGGACTTCGGAGGCACAGCGTCCCTTTGAGTGGGTCATGAGATGAGGATTAGGATTCTTTGGGTGCCTCTCTTGCCAGAAGGGGAAGAGTCTGTACCTATAAATTCTTTTTTTGTGCCAGGGTCAGGAACAGAAAGCAAAGTTTATTAATTAAACAATTAGTACTTGTCACATGCTAGAGACTACCCTGATTGTTTCATCTGCTTTGACTTAATAGTATTAGTGACAAGTGCTATTCTCATTTCCATTTCTGATTGAAAAAGTTGAGGCTTGAAGATGTCGATCAGGTACATTGCTGAAGGATGCATAGGCAGTATGGGGTCAGATCTGGGTTAACAGCTTGAAACCTTGATTTCCTCAATCACAAGGTTAGAGAGAGCCTTGGGAGGAAGGAAAGGCAAAGGTAGCCAAAAAAGTAAAATTTTTTCTTTCTTTGCTTTGTTTTCCTCCTCCTGATCTTTCTTTTGTCATTTTTCAAATGCCAATTAATGGAAACACTAAATGTAAGTGAGTTAAGGCGAATTTCACTTTTAAAACATTAAATATGTGCATATTTTGAGTAGTCTTCCTTAAATAGGTAGAACCTACGGATTGATGTAATTTGCTCTCCATCTGGCCACGAAGAGCACATGCTATGTAAAACTTTCGCTGCCTGGCTGTTAAATGCTGCCTGCACATATTCTACCCTGGCATACCGCTTATCTTTAGCTAGGTTTGGAGAGAAAGCTTATTTTCTCTCTGCTACCAAGACTAGCGCATTGTCCTGCAGGAAGCCATGAACTTCAGAGTTAGGCAACCTTGGAAGGGTGTTACTGGCTGGAGCATTTCTCAACCGCATTACTTGAAGAAACTTTTCTGTGCCTCAGTCTCTCCTTTTTAAGTAGGGACAATACCACGTTAGAAGAGCAATGGGACTTCCCCCCAATAGGTGGTAGGCACTCAGTGTGTAGAGGCTGTTTCTAACAAAACTGTGGTTGAGTAATGTGCTATTTCCGCCGACATCTGCCTCTCCCAATTCTTCCTTGTCCTCCTCCTCTTTCTCTCCCACTTGATAACTCACATTAAACAGATCATCTTGAGTATAGCAATATTTCCTCCCAGTTGCTGCTAAGCAGAGCTTTTCAAACCAAGATCTGCAAATAACCTCAGGCTATGTGTCTTTTGTCTCTGGGGCCCTGCAGGTGCCACCTGCAGTCCATCATGTCCTTCGGCAGAGACATGGAGCTGGAGCACTTTGACGAGCGCGACAAGGCGCAGAGATACAGCAGGGGGTCGCGGGTGAACGGCCTGCCCAGCCCCACGCACAGCGCCCACTGCAGCTTCTACCGCACGCGCACACTGCAGACGCTCAGCTCGGAGAAGAAGGCCAAGAAGGTCCGCTTCTATCGGAACGGAGATCGATATTTCAAAGGGATTGTGTATGCCATCTCCCCTGACCGCTTCCGATCTTTTGAGGCTCTGCTGGCTGATTTGACCCGAACTCTGTCGGATAATGTGAATTTGCCCCAGGGAGTGCGAACAATCTACACGATTGATGGGCTTAAGAAGATTTCCAGCTTGGATCAACTGGTGGAAGGTGAGGCGCGGAAAACCGCGGTTTCACTTTCAAATTTCCCTTGTGCTCTGTTTGCGGTCAACCTCATAGTTTAGCAACCGTATTGTTCCACTTGAGTTATGCTATCTATTTCTTGTAAACAAGAAAAAGAAAATTAATGGGTTTAAATCCAGTGGTGTATTATAAAAGGCAGAAGGGGAAAATGTCTAATTCTACAAGATTATCTATTTTCTTTCTCACACCCACTCTAAATTAATTTTAAAAGTTCATTTTGATGTCTCAGTTGCATACTTCACATTCATTTCTAGACGCAAATTGAACTTTTGCTATCACAATGTCCAAAAGTACTTGAACTGAAGATGACTAATGGATCATAAAGTTTGAGAGCTGAGAAGAACCTTAGATAGCTGTCAAACTGATTAATTTTATCATTGGAGACTGGAGACTGGAAAATTCAACTGTCGTGTCTGAGATTATGTGGCAGCTTAGTGGTGTCCACTGGACCAAAAATGAGAGTTTCTGACAGCTCTTCAGTGTAATTTTTCCTGTGTGTGTGTGTTTTGTTTTGTTTTCTGGCAGTACTAGGAATTGAACCAAGAGTCTTGGTGCTGAGCTAATCCCCAGCCCTTTTTTGTTTTGAGACAGAGTCTTGCTAAGTTGCCAGGCTGGGCCCAAACTTGTGATCCTCAGACTCCTGGAAAGCACTGGGGTTACAGGTCTGTGCCACCAGCCCCATGATGCTTCCTTTTAAATTTAAAGAATTGTTGTTGTCCTATGGTATTGAGAATCTGAAGGAATTATTCTGTTCAGATTGTCTTGAAGTTCAACTTATATTATTAGTGATTATCTATTTTAGGTATTTGATGTGATAATAGGGCTGTGTAGTTTCACGGGTGAGGCCTGGTATCTTGTACAAACAGAATGGGCTGCCTGCTCTGGATTGTGCTTGCCTTAGAATGAACTCTGTTTGAACGATGCATAAAGCCTCTCCTTGCCTTAGAAGTAAAAATGACATTAAAATGCTTTGGAGAGAAATGACCAGTGCTAAGGTAAGATGTAAGGCAAGACTCCAGATCCCTTTTGCAGAGCAGGTTTTTCTGAGAATGAAGTCTCGGAGGCCTTCATGAAGAGGAAAGAATAGAGGAGTAAGAGAATTCAGTCTTGATTCAGTCTTGGAAGAGCTTGACATCGCCCTGAGTTTAGCTTGACTCCCACAGTGTCTGTTCAGGCCCTTTTGTCTAGCTGGGTCCTGGAAGAATGTCACATAGTCCCCTTGCCCCTGGCCCTTGTGTGGATAGCAGGAAGCATCACTTTCAGCCTCTTAAAAGAGTTTGGGGTTGCTGTTTTCTGACTGAACACTTGCAGGACCCTCTTACCTTTCTTTGGAGTCAGAGTGTGTATGTAATTCAAGGCCCAAAGCCTGCCCTGGTTTCTCCTCTTTGTCCCTTGGCAGGAATGTCAGTCCTGTTATGTGTGACTGGACATGAGTGGGTATGGAGGAGCCTGGGCTTGGTGTGTTTATTTTGGGGGAATTCATATCTTTTCCACGACTTGTCACTCCATCAAGATGCTTGTAGACTTGACCTTTTTCTTCTGTACAGAGGTTGAGACTTCCAGTAAATTAAAAAGGAGGAAAATCAGTATAAGGTTTGATTTTTGTTCCCTGTCTTTTGCATGACCTTGGAAAATACAAGGATAAATAAAACATGTGATGGACCATTCAAAGGGGTCTGAACAAAGATCAAAACCAAAGTCAGATGCGTGATTGTCCTTAAGTGGAAAGATGCTATTGTGGGAGACATGCCAAGATCTCAAATCACATCCTAAGGTAGCTAGGGGGAGTTGACACCTAATCTGCTCTTGAATCACTTGTGCAGCATCAAGGAAGGGGTGCTTCAGTTTACTACTAAGAACTGATCTTTACTAAACAGTAGTCAGTGACATTCCTCGGACTCCTGTCTTCCAAGGACAAGCCTATAGAAAGTGGCTAATGAGAGTATTCCCTCCTATCTAGGGACTGGCAAAATCGTGACACGCTTGCCACCATCTTTTTCTTCCTTGTATTTACCACAGTATAATACCTGCTGAGATGATGAGTGAAGACAATAATAATGGTTCGCAGTTATTGAGCACCTGCCAGGCCCTGGTGAGGTCCTTTGATTATGGTGATCCATGTACTTCCCACAATAATCCTAAGAGTTATTTGCTGTCATCCTCCTTATACTGTATTGGCATGTGAAAAGTGAGAGTGGTGTGGTCGAGTAATCTGCTCAGAGTCACACAGCAAAAGAGATGACATTAGAATTTAAACTCAGGACGAGCAGTGTCAGAGGTAGAACTCATAATTGCCACTGAGATGCCATGTGCTTTGAATTCAACCCCTTTGGAAGATACTCTTGGGTTTGTTTGAATACTGTGAATTTTTCTTTGATGTAGTAGTGTGGCAGGTACTTTAATGGAAAGTTAATTACAAACAGTTATTCCTATTGCTGTTAGTGGTGTTTAAATGAAATTGACTGTATTAGCTATTTCTTGAAAACAAGTATTTTTATTGTTTCTTAGTTCTAGGAATAAAAGCTGCTTTTCTCAGAAAGACTAATATTTTACCTTCAAATACATTTTTTCCAACCAGTATAAAGTAACTGCAGATCAAATATTCTGCTATTTAAATATTACTTTTTTGAAAAACATTAACCCTTTTTCCAATTGAATGGGCAGTAAGTTCAGTACAGTGTGTGACTTCACATATTGACTTTTTTTTTTGAATTTTCAGTTTAAACTGATTTTTTCCTAACTTATAACACTGATAATTAGCATGCAGCTGTGCTTAGTGTTTAAATAGCTGGAAATTCATTTAGATTTGCTTCTTTGTCAATTACATTTTTGCTTAGTCTGTTAAAATGCAAACCATTACTTCGCATTCATCACTAGGCTCATATCTCTCACTTTACATACTAATTTTATGTAAACGTCAATGCATATTATTAGCTTTTTGTTTTCTCTTTCAATATGATGATGTTTGAGGTTTAAATTAAATCTTTGTAGTGAGTGCAGCTCCAAGTATATTTGGCTTGTGATTTTCTAAAGTTTGTTCTTTCTTATTGATCTCAAACTAAAAATTCCAAGTTACAATGACATGTAAGTTTATTTATAACAGTCTTATGGTTACTTTCACTGTTTTATTATTATAAACTGATTATTATGCGTGAGTGTAGTTTAAGGATGTTGGCAGAGTTGTCTCTGAGCCCAAGTTATATAAAGCACATGTGTATGTATGATCGTATATGTGTCTGTGTATCTTCATGTGTGTACGTGTACACATATACAGCAGCGACTGTGATACTCTTAGTTATTTGCCTTTAAAATGGCCTCAATATTTTTTTTAAATCATGATGCTTAATGAGGAAAGTTGAACTGTGGACCTATTTCTGCAAATGATTCATCTTGAGACTTGGCCTCGTTTCCCCCAGTTTTCTACTGCTTATGTCCTCCTGTAGTGTGTACACGTTGTAGATACATGATGACACCCTTTGAACTCTCAGGAGAAAGATGTGAGGTACAAGCTGAGCATTGATTGATTGATGATTGATTTTTTTCTTTCTTTTAACATCTTACGTGATTGAAGACAAGAGAGGACTAAGCATTTCCTTATTTAGAATAAGCTACACAGATCACATAGATACTTGTGTGTGTGTGTGTGTGTGTGTGTGTGCATTCCCACATGCACTAGCACTACTGGGGCCTTCACACTCAACTACATCCCCAGCTCTTTTTAAATTTTTATTTTGAGACTTGTCTCACTATGTTTCCCAGGCTGGGTTCAAACTTGCCACGCTCCTGCCTCAGCCTCCCAGAGTGCTAAAATTACAAGCACGCACCACCATACCAAGCTAGTTGTGTCATCTTACAAATATAAAAAATATCTGCAGTGTTAGGAATGAATCTGTCTTCCTCCTTGGTTAATCATGCTTACCTAGACCACTCTCAGCCCTCTTTGGAAATTGCCTGACTTCAGAGCTGTAGTGTAAAAGCACTGTCCAAGTCTGCCTTAGAATCTACCTCTCATTAATAGCCACACTTTGTCCCACAGTTAGTGAATCTCTTTCTATGGCTTCTTGATTACCTATCCACCTTGGCAGTTTTTCTGTTCTCTCTCTTTTTTTTTTTTAATCTTTTTGCTTTTTTATCAGTACCAAGGATTGAACTCACGACCGCATGCTTGCAAGGCAGGTGCTTATGCTGCTGAGCTAAATCCCCAGCCATGTGGCTTTCCTCTGCTTTCTTTCTCTAACTCCTCATCTTCCTCTAGACCTCTCTCTGCTACATAAAAAATCTTCAAAATTAAGTGTTAGAATAGCTGCAAATTTGCTTTCCCTAAAATTTCTCAGAGGAAACTAGGTCACTAGCTTTTCTATTAGTAACTTCTTAGCAGTACCACTGTGTGTTAAAGATAAACATATTATCCACTCAAAAACTGACTACTTACTATATCCGAAATTCTGAGTCTTGATTTTTGTACTTAACCTGATTGTCTTGGAAACTTTTTCATACAGTGCATCTAGAACTATTGTGTGCTTTGTATTTTGTATTGTTCTTTTATACAAGTGTACCATAATATATTCAACAAGTCTTCTATTCATAGGCTTCTAAGATATATCCAACCCTCTGTTATTATAAATAATTTTATAGTGAATACCCTTGAATATATGTTTTCCAGGCATGTAGGTGACTATCTTTGGAATGAAATTTCTAGAAATAACATTATTGGGTAGCGAGGTAGAAGTATTTAAGAGCGATTGCAAAATTCTTCTCCATAAAGGTGTTCACAGTGCAAACGGGGTCACATAGGAGAGTGGTTGTTTCTCTGCCTGCAACAAAATAGTGTGTTATCAAATGTTTTTGCCAGCCTATTAGAATTGTATCTTATTATAGTTTTAATTTTTAACTGTTAATTTGATTAAAATACATTTGTATTTTTCTATGGATTTTTCTCCATGTTTTTTTTTTCTCTCATTTTTCTA